GAAAAAAAAAAAAAAGACATGGTCAGATTTGCATTTCAAACAAATGAACTCAGAATAATCTAGAAGGATAGATAATGTAGCAAATACCAAACTAGGAGTGAGATCACTAAGCAGGTGACCAGGTGTGAAGCTGGAGGGTTTTGATGGTAATGCACGGTTGCCAGAGAGATTCTTTGCCTTAACTTTCTACCCTCCTGGGAAGGCTGGCTATGCTGCACGAGGCCATTCTCCAACGAGGGCACCTAGAGGATGGGCAGCCCTAGGCAGAAGGAAATGCTTTTCCAGGCAACTCAGGGATAGCTATTGCAGAGCTGCAACCAAGGTTTAGGGAATTCCAAGGAAACACAAAGGTTTCTGGAAACACCGACACCTGACTTGATGGTATTCTCCAACAGATCTAGGGCTGCCCCCCCAAACACGAAGGCCTTGGAAACCCAGCCCAGCAGTGTCCTTAGCACTGACTCAAACCACCTCTGGCTCTCCTGAGCCTCTGAAGGCCCAAGTGCTCCTGTGTCCAGCCTCTAGCCTTTCTGGAACGTCCGATTCTGACTATTCAGCCACCCGGGGTACCCTCAGCCAGAACAAGCTGTGCATCCCAGGCCAGGACAATACTCACACAGTGCCTCCACAGGGTGTACGAAACTGATGAAAGGTGACACTTGCCCTCATTTCAGAGTAGAGCAAGCTTTCATGCCTACTCACACAGACCTTGCCGGCTGGCCTGGCGCCGGACCCCAGCACTGTGCTCCTAAATCCAGTGTCTGTGCCCCGACCCTTCTGAAGAAGTTTCACCTTGGTGCCCAACCTCCCTATTTCCGATCCCCAGAGTACAGCCCAGCAGACACCAGGTGCCAATACTAAAGTACCTGGACAGGAGTCTCAAGTGTCTGCTGTCAGTCCATACTGGGAGTTTCATGAGAGGGGCTAGGAATTGTCTTGTCAGTCAGAACAGGGGGTGGGAGGAGAGGAGAGGATGTGATGACCACCCTATTGTCATTTGGGATTTTAAAAAGCATTAAACTTCTAGAATCCCAACTTGCCAAGTGTACTCAAGTGCAGGCAATTTTACCCCTAAGAAGACCTTTGGCAATCTCTGGAGCCATTATTAATGGTTGCAACTAGGGTGGGGGGATCCTACTGGCATCTGACGGGCCAGAGTTGCTAAACATCCTCCAAAGAATTACCCGGCCCCAAATGTCAACAGTGTTGAGGTCAAGAAACCCTGCTCTAGGTAACCGCAGGCTCATAGGAATCCTAACTGAACCCAGAATTACCCAAGGAGGCAGTTAAAGCCTAAATTCAGAGGCTCTATTTCCAGATGTTGTCCCGGCCGAGTGCCCAAGAATTCTAGAGATAAGTAAACCCAAGACATAAGCTCCAAAGATGCCCAGAGAAAGAAGACAGTGTGGAGGAAGTCCCTGACCCTTCCACAGTGACCTCTGAGTCAGAGAAGAGCTTCTGAGCCACTATGAAAGCCTATAGCTTGGTTTAGGAAGGACATGTGCTGGGAATTAAAATGGGAGCCATAAAGACTACCCAGGATATTCCAGAGAATGTAGGAATGTAGGGAACACGTATTCCTGATGGCTTCAGAAAAATGACATCTGGGCCAGGTGCGGAGGCTCATACCTGTAATCCCAACACTTTGGGAGGCCTAGGCGGGCAGATCACCTGAGGTCTGGAGTTTGAGACCAGCCTGGCCAATATGGTTTTACCGTCTCTACTAAAACTACAAAAATTAGCTGAGCATGGCGGCACACGCCTGTAATCCCAGCTAATTGGGAGGTTGAGGCAGAAGAATCTCTTGAACCCTGGAGGCAGAGGTTGCAGTGAGCCAAGATCACGCCATTGCTCTCCAGCCTGGGTGACAAGAGCAAAACTCCATATCGGAAAAAAAAAAAAAAAAAAAAAAGATATCTCAGCTACTGAAGCTCTATGGCTGACCTCCCCTTTCTGAGATCTCATTGGAGAAGGGATGGAGGAGGCAGGCACTCCCAGGACACACTGTCCAAGTCACGTTGTGACATTGTACTTTGGTCCTAAATGGCTTGATAGGTCAAATCTAAAGGACAGACTTCATGCTCCATTTCTGCCAGGTTGTTCAGTCATCCTCAGTCCCCACTTCCCTCCTTTTAAGCTGAGAATCACCCTGATGATAGGCCATTTTTTCAAGGGTTCCTATACCCCAGATCGACGCCTTGTATAGTCCAAAACCAGGGTCCTAGGATCTCATTTGCTGCTCTCTCTTCTTCAATCCACTTCCGGGGCCATTCACATACCTGGCTTTCCAGATCTGTCCTGGATCGCACCTGTGTTTGACTTGCTTTAAAAGTACATTATGTATAGAACCACCTGGCCGCCTGGCTTGGGAGGGCATCTGTAGCCTGGCCAGTTGCCCCAGCCCTCATGACAACAACTTCCTCCTTGTGTCAGCCAGTACCTTGTGTTGCAGGTGCCAACGTGTCTCCCAGCTGAACCCTTTCAAGTCATGAAAGAGTGCTCTAAACCATGAGCAGGTTTCCTTCCTTCTTTCTTTTCTTTCTTTCTCTTTCTCCTTCCTTCCTTCCTGCCTTTCTGCCTTCCTTCTCTGTCTCTTCTCTCTCTTTCTTTCTTTCTTTCTTTCTTTCTTTCTTTCTTTCTTTCTTTCTTTCCTTCTTTCCTTCCTTCCTTCCTTCCTTCCTTTTTTTGAGATGGAGTCACGCTCTGTCACCCAGGCTCAAGTGCAGTGGCGTGATCTTGGCTCACTTCACCTCCCGGGTTCAAGTGATTCTCCTGCCTCAGCCTCCTGAGTAGCACACATCTTTCTCCCTCCCTCCCTCCATCCCTCCCTTCCTGCTTGCTTGCTCTCTCTCTCTCTCTCTCTCTCTCTCTCTCTCTCCTTTCTTATAGAGTCTTGCTCTGTTGCTCAGGCTGGAACATAGTGGCACCATTATGGCTCGCTGCAGCCTTGACCTCCTGGGGTCAAGCAATTCTCTCACTTCAGCCTCCCAAGTAGTGAGAACTATAAGCACACACCACCACACCTGGCTCATTTTAAAAATTACTTTTTGTCTGGGTGCGGTGGCTCACACCTGTAATCCCAGTAATTTGGGAGGCCGAGGCAGGTGGATCACAAGGTCAAGAGCTCGAGACCATCCTGGCCAACACGGTGAAACCCCGTCTCTACTAAAAATACAAAAATTAGCTGGGCATGGTAGTGCATGGCTGTAGTCCCAGCTACTCGAGAGACTGAGACAAATAATTGCTTAAACCCAGGAGGCAGAGGTTGCAGTGAGCCGAGATTGCGCCACTGCACTCCAGCCTGGGTGACAGAGCAAGACTCCGTCTCAAAAAAATAAATAAATAAATAAAATTACTTTTTGTAGAGTTGGGGTCTCACTATGTTGCCTATGCTGGTCTCAAACTCCTGGGCTCAAGCGGTCTTCCTGCCTCGGCCTCCCAAAGTGGGATTACAGGTGTGAGCCGCCGTGCCTGGCCTGGAGCAGGTCTTCTAACAATTCCTCTGTTCCCTTCTCTTCCTCCCTTTCTTGCTCCTTCCACTCCAGTACTTCTAGCTACGTTTCTGCTTCTCTTTCTCCCCTCTTTGATTCTTCCTTTCCGTTCAACTTCTGGCTCAGGCTGGCCAAGTTTCCAAATCAGGGAAGAAATTATTTGCAGAGCTGGTAGGTCTGAAGGACTGTGGCTACTGCAAACCTCAAATGGAATCCACTGCAGCCCCCTCCAGTTGCCTTCCTACTTTGGGCCTCTAAGTTATTCCTGCATTTTTCAGCACTTTCTACTTAGGGCTGTCCTGATCATCGATTCTGGACAAAGTTTCTTTTGTATTCTACATCTGGCCCTTCACTCTTTCTGCAAGGAAAAAATGTCCAAGTCTTTCTGGAAATGTAGCTTAGATACTTGAAATAAAAATGCTCCAATTCATTCATTTGAGCCAATTTTTTTTAATAGGAATGTGGTGACATAAGACATAATATTAACACATGCCAATAATATTGATGTTAGCTGAGATTACTAGTTTACAATAACGCTATGTATTAACACTATTGACAGCACAAAGTGTTACTATCTTAATTTTATGATTTCTATTATCATGTAATCAATGCATAGCCTAAAAATTATATAGAGAACATTGGTTTGGGGAGAATAAATCAGAAAGGCAGAGACACTGTAAAGAGGAAATCTAGTTAGGGGCTACTGGAAAAGTACAGACACTAGATGATGAATGCATCAACCAAGCTTTATAATTTGGCATTTGGAATAATTCCACTGTCAACAAAAGCTGTGAGATACTTTGGTAAGGGGGCCGGGCTTGGTGGCTCAGGCCTATAATCCCAGCACTTTGGGAGGCCGAGGCGGGCGGATCATGAGGTCAGGAGATTGAGACCATCCTGGCTAACACAGTGAAACCCCGTCTCTACTAAAAATACAAAAAAGTAGCCGGGCGTGGTGGCGGGTGCCTATAGTCCCAGCTACTCTGGAGGCTAAGGCAGGAGAATCACTTGAACCAGGGAGGTGGAGGTTGCAGGGAGCCGAGATGGCGCCACTGCACTCCAGCCTGGGGAAACAGAGTGAAACTCTGTCTCAAAAAAAAAAAAAAAAAAGAGATACTTTGGTATTCATAACTAAATCACTAAGTATTGCCACCTTTCCAAATCTGCAGAGTCCCTGGTCTCAGAAGCACACAATCCTAATTTCCCCAGCCCACATTCTCTCATTAAGGCACATTATTTTGTTTTGGATCTCAGCACACAGCTGCCAAATAGAATGCTTCTCCCCAGTGTCCGCCCAATTTTCTGCCTGCCTGGAGCCCGGAAGGTGCACCTGGGCAGAGCCAACGCAGGACACTTGGTGGGACCTCTCTGGCCACAGGCTCTCACAGGGAGTGGTCACTTGCCATGAGTAGTATTCAAAACCAGCAAGCAAGGTGTGGTCTGAGCTCCTTTAAGCTCCAGCGTTTGGGGCCTCCTGATGAGTCCCCAGAGAAGAATCCAGAAAGAAGAATGGAAGGAGGGTGGCCTGCAAAGGGGGGTGTCCTCCTCTGCCTCACTGTCAGTCTTCTGCTTCAAGGTAAGATGGGACAAGAACAGGGAAGACCAGAATGTAGTTCTGAGGGACACCTGGACTCACCTCTAGCACTTGGAGGGCATTCAGAATGAACATGTTAAATATTTCTTCCATAATGTCTGTGTCCTGATTTCCTTTTGGTGACAGGTAGAAAAACATTTCACTGATGAGTACAAACAGACTTTCTCTATTCCTGCCTGCACAGGGATCTATCAAACCGTCTCATTTCACCACTTCTCCAATTCCACCTTTTCACCGACTTCTGATGCTCCTCTGCCTCAACCCTCTTCCCCCTCCTTGTCTCTGTTTCTCTTGATGTGATATCTATGAGAAGAGTAGCTGCTGATTTTAAACATGCCCTGAGGGAGGGGACAATCTGAGGTGGAACTGAGTAGATATTTTGCTTCCATGAAGTAATATTTGTTCCCAATCTGGGCACGTACCTTAAATATTATGGAAAGAGATGGAGACAGAGAGAAGGAGGCAGAGAAAAGAACCATATAATGATGGCAATGGGGCAAAGATGCCATTCGGGTACTACCCAGATGGCTCCCTGGCCGTGGCCAAGAGACGATATCTGCACCGGTCTCACTTTGTGGTTTTTTGTTTTTTGTTGTTGTTTGTTTTTTGACATGGAGTCTCACTCTGTTGCCCAGGCTGGAGTGCAGTGGCGTGATCTCGGCTCACTGCAACCTCCGCCTCCCAGGTTCAAGTGATTCTCCTGACTTAGCTTCCTGAATAGTTGGGATTACAGGCGCACACCACCACACCCAGCTGATTTTTGTATTTTTAGTAGAGATGGGGTTTCACCATGTTGGCCAGGATGGTCTCGATCTCTTGACCTTATGATCCACCCACCTCAGCCTCCCAAAGTGCTGGGATTACAGGCATGAGCCACCGCGCCTGGCACATCGGCCTCACTTTGTGACTGAACAAATGCTGTATGCTCAGTGATGTCACCTCGTGATCCCAATGCTAGAAATAACCCACGAGATAACTGAGGTCACTAAATCTGAGAAGAGCAAAATGAATGCATAGCACCAAGGTAAGCACCTAGTCAGATACCTACTACGTTTCCCATATCTACCTAGTAAGCACAGTTGTGTAAAATGTCTCTTATCCTCTTGATAAATCAGTTCTTGCCTTCAGTAGACCTAAGATCCTAAGAGTCAGAGAGAGAAATGCATTAGCATCGATTTTTAGGTGACCTGGACCACAAGATTTGGGCAGTTCTACTGCTAGGTGAGCCAAGAGCCTTGCGACGGGTACATTAAAGGACTCCTGGAAGTAGCTGCCATTGCACTTAAGCCAAGTTTTCATACAGATTTGGGCAAACTTTGCATGAGGATGAAACAATGGGAATGAGAATACAGCCCTGACCTCAGCTCACCACATCAACTTCCACCATTTGCCTACCAGCCCAGTCCATCATCCCCAACCATGGCCTTGGGAGTCTTGGCATGGGAAGGAGGGGCTCACCTGCTCCTCTCAGTATATCCCCTATTTTGTCTCTCTGCAGAGAGACTCCAGCCCTGGAAATAGAGTCCCTCTCTCACGGAGTCTCTGCTCTCTATAGGAAAAGGCGACGCTTTTACCATCAATTGCTCAGGCTTTGACCAGCATGGGGTTGACCCTGCTGCCTTCCAAGCAGTGTTTGACAGAAAGGCCTTCTGTCCATTCACCAACTACAGCATCCCTACCCATGTCAACATCTCCTTCACCCTGTCTGCCATCCTGGGAGTGGTGAGATTTAGTCCCTGCATTTTTCCCATGGCTTCTAATAAGGAACGAGGACCCTCTGCCCTGTCAACCCAACATGGCCCTGGCCCCGTGGTGAACAAGAGGTACCCTGGATGGATTTAACACAAGTTAAATGGTTTTCCTATGCAATGGAGAGGCACGAAGAAGAATACTACAGTGATATTTTTTCAGGAAGCCATTTGTCTTTGAATCCTGTCGTTTCTAGAATTCTCTAGAAAAAAAGTAGTCTGTATATTAATTAAAATCAGAATTGCCCGTAGACACGGGAAACAAGTGAGGAAAAGACAATTCAGCATCTACAACAATGCCTGACCCAATAAATTAGTAAATATTGGTGGGAATATGAGGTGGACATGGGCCAAACCTTTTTACACTAATAATCCTGCATGGAAATTTCCTCATCAGGATGCACAGCTCCAGCTGCTGACGTCATTCCTGTGGATGGATTTGGTAAGACAGATTCAAGTATCTCCTCCCCACTTCATTTATAATTTTAAGCCTGAGGAGTTAGAAGTGACTTAAAGGGGCCAGGAGCAGTGGCTCACGCCTGTAATCCCAGCAATTTGGGAGGCTGAGGCAGGTGGATCACCTGAGGTCAGGAGTTCGAGACCAGCCTGACCAACATGGTAAAACTCCATCTCTAATAAAAATATAAAAATTATCTGGGTGTGGTGGCAGGTGACTGTAATTCCAGCTAATCAGGAGGCTGAGACAGGAGAATTGCTTGAACCTGGGAGGCAGAGGTTGCATAGAGCCAAGATTGTGCCACTGACCTCCAGCCTGGGCGACAAGAGTGAAACTTTGTCTCAAAAACAAAAAATAAATAAAAAGAGAAAGAGCCTAGAAGAAGAGCACAGCAGGGGAGACCCTGGAAGGAAGGGAGACAAGAGCTGAAAAAGCCTCCATCTCTTCCCTTCCTTCCCCAAACAGCATGGATGTGTCTCAGACGCCTTCAGGTCTCACTGCCTATATCAGCAGTGAAGGTCAAATAAACTACGATAAGCCAATGAGGGTGACCAGCATCTGTAACCTGGACATCTTCTACTTCCCTTTTGACCAACAGAACTGTACCTTCACCTTCAGTTCTTTCCTCCACACAGGTAAGTGTGACACATTTTGGTAGCTGTTTAAGATTCAGGGAAAGACATTTGAGTGGTGTAGGTATCGTTAGAAAAGGTTTTGGATCAGTGTTGCTCCACTCCGGTGGCCTAACAAAGCTTTTTGAAAATACCAATGACTGTCCAGGCACAGTGGCTCACACTGTAATCTCAGCACTTTGGTAGGCAAAGGCGGGACGAATGCTTGTGCCCAGGAGTTTGAGACCCGCCTGGGCAACATAGTGAGACCTCGATCTCTACAAAATATAAAAAGAATTAGCCCCAGTTACTTGGGAGCCTGAGGCAGGAGGATCATTTGAGCCACAGAGGCTGAGGCTGCAGTGAGCTGTGATTGCACACTGCATTCCAGCCTGAGTGACAGAGTGAGACTCTGTTTTTAAAACAAAAAACAGGGCCGGGTGCGGTGGCTCATGCTTGTAATCCCAGCACTTTGGGAGACCGAGGCAGGCGGATCACAAGGTCAGGAGATTGAGACCATCCTGGCTAACACAGTGAAACCCTGTCTCTACTAAAAGTA